CAAAAATTCAATTAAAAATAGTATAAAATTACAAAAATATTATTTTTAACATTAAGGCGGTGTAGCTCCCGTGCTAGACTTTCTTCAAGTGATGTTTTTCATTCTCGGTAATCATCGTTGAGGGAATCCTCCAAACGTTCTTCAACGTTTTAGCGTTCATTATTATAAAGAAACATAATAGCAAAAATGTCAACGAACTTAGGTAGAAATTGGTGCCTGTGCACTTTTACTAGTTATTCGTAAGTTTTTCCAATAGGAATTCATAGATTCGATAGTTTGTGAAAAAGGAAAATTTGCGGTTAGTAATTATATTCAAAGAAGAAGTGATAATTATATTCCCTGTTTTAATATAATCAATGTTACCGTACGATTAACCATCGATAAGAGGCGTAGCCAAACGAACCATTATTAAATCTATAAGTCCTACTCTGAGAGCCAGGTAACCATTTTTCCCAACGTTTTCCCAAGTTTATTCACCCTTAAAATCACTGTAACGAAGATAGTAGAAAATTAAGTATAAAAAACGATTTCCAAACCCCGATTAGGCTGCGAGCTGAACACCATTTACCGAGTTTCACAGAAATTGGACTCCTCCATTAATTTCGATCGCCTCACAAAACACGTCGCTCGTTTTATAGCCTCTCCCCAACCGCAAGCATCAAAGCAAAGGAAACCTTATCGGCCGAAATACCAAGATATATTTGTACAATCAAGCAAACAAACAATGGGTTAAGACACCTCGTATTGTTTAGTCTGGCTGAAGGGGCGGCCGAGTCGCTTGGTGATCTCCTTCTTCTGCACGAGGGCTTTCTTGGAGGCGTAGCGGTTGGGATCGAGATGACGGAGCCCCATAAAGAGGACGAGGCTGCTCAGCGCAGCACTAGCAGCGTACAGAAACATCTCCTGCTCCAACCTCGCCTGCGAATCCTTCATCTTGCAAGCACGCGAGCGAGAGCGAGAGGGAAAAAAAAGAAAAGGAGAGAACTCGTGTTTGGACCTCAAATTTTTTGGTTGTGAACAACAGGCGAGATGGCGAGATGGCGAGATGGTTTGTGGAAACGATGGCACAGGTGACAATTTGAAAAAGTAGCGACCCGAAAGCTAGGGCTGCCGGTCGATCTCGTGGCGGGCTTTTCGCCCGTTTTCACGTCGTCCGGGCACGAAGTTGGGAGACAAACAGTAAACATTCACGGTATTGGGCTGTGCCGCACGAAAAAAAGTGGCAAGTCCTTAGCTTTTAACCCATGGGTGGAATTATTAATTTTGAGAATATTTAAGGAATTTTTTTAGCGTATGCAGAACACTTTAAGACTAAAATTTGTACCAAATAAATTTAGCATAATGCATATCTGACAGGTTAAAGTAAATTGTGTTTTGGTATCCATATTTTATGTATTAAAATGAAGATAATAGTAAGAAAAAATCCCAAAAAGATAATAATTGAAACATGAAGAATCTTCTCAAACTAAAAGTAACGATGCATCAGAGAGATAAATTTGGAATAAGAGTGCTAAACTTAAAAACTAGTGATTATAACTTAGTCGGGAATGTAGATATGATAAGTCTATTATCCCTTAAACCCATGTAAATGAGGTTATTAATTTTCTTAAGATAACTTAGGCAAACTCTCAATTGTTTGTAAAACTTTGCTAAGATGCACCTTTTGTATCAAATACATTTAGCCTAACTAGTATTTGAAAAGTGAAAGTTAAAAGCTAAGATCTTGTGAGATAATTAGTTTCCTAGTAAAAATAAATCGAGCAAATGATGTTGTGAGATAGTTCGAAACATAACATAAAAGTTGCTTAGTAATACACACAAATTATTGGAAAAAGATAAGTTCAATTTTATCCTACTACTTGATTAAATTCAGGAAAGAAAAAAAAAATATCATTTTCGAAGAATTTGAACGTAAGAAGCCATTCATTTAATAATAAGAAAAATAAAGAGTGGTTAAGAAAATTTTAATGAATTTGCATTAAATTGATATTCATTCATTTTCGAAGAATTTGCATGATATATTAAGGTATGAATACATTTATGAATGAATGAATAATAATAATTTTAACTCGAAGAGTTGAATAGCTAAAATTGGGCAACTAAAGTTAAGAAAAAAAATTTTTTTTTCACCCAACATACCATCCAATATATTTCCAAAAAATTGATTTTCAGTACTTAACCAGCAGCCACGAAAGATAGAGAAAATAGAACATCAAGACATTTCAAATAAAAAAAAAAAAATTATAAAGATCAAAGATGTTGCAAAATGAGACTTGATTCTCTAAAAATTTTACGAATAGAATTATTAGTATATTATAGTTGATTTTATGGACATTAATATTCTTAAATGTGGTAAGATAATTATTAAAAGCATGGGAGGAATGATCAAAGGAAGCCTAATTATGTTGAGTGGGTCATAAAAAATGGGTTAATAATTACCTGACCAAGTTTCACATAATTATATAAAAAAAGTTGTTCACTATATATATAAAGTTAAAAAAGAAAGGAGGTTGGATTTCCCATTGGCCATTTATGGAATAAAAAAAAAATCCTTCTAATTATGTATCCATAATGGTAGAGAATGGCATATTGCTTACAAAATCTACAATCCAACTAGCAAATAAGGTGAATTTTTTTTTAATAATCATTAGTTTTTAAAACAATATCTTTATTAATGTTGTCAAAAGTTTTTTAATAAATCGATATTAGCACAACAAGTTCTAAGAGCACAGATTGAATTAAATACTCTTCAGAATTCATGCGCAAGAGCAATATTCTTATTCGCGATGTCCGATTTACGATCAAAGTTATCTAAAAAAGGTGAACTACTTGAGTCGAGCAACAATAAGCTTAAAAGGTGCTACTGAGAGAAATAAGTTATGATTACAAGAATCATTAGCAAAAAAATTATTTAATAATCAAGATAATATCTATGTGTTTCACAAAAGTAGGGAGCTTGATTCATAATAAAAGGCTTAATAGGAGAAATAATTTGAGGCATAAAAATTACTTGAGGAGAAGAGTATATATTTATGATTAAAATCTTTTAGCCAAATGGTTATGTCCATATAGGAGTGTCAAAACGGCTCTTTGTTCGTGAACAGCTTGTGTTCGACTCGTTAAGAAACTCGTGTTTGGCTCGTTTTGACTCGAAATACGACTCATCAAGTTTATATATATATATATATATATAAAAAGTAGTATTTTATTTTTTTGCTTTTATACCTTTTCTTTAAAAAAAAGTTGTATTTTAAAAAAATCTAATTGACTACAAGGCTACAAAGATTTATAATCAATTAAAATATTGATTAAGAAAATAGAATAAAAATTATTAAATTAGATTCAAATGATGTTTTAATATAAATAATAATTTTTAAATCTTGCTCAAACCCTTATTGTCTTATGACTACATGATCAGGGTTGTTAAAAGGATTCTTTGTTCTTGAACAACTCGTGTTTGGCTCGTTTGCTATCGTTAAGCAAACAAACCGAAGACGAACACACTTTTTGAGCTCGAAATACGTGTTCGGCTCGTTTACACCCCTACGTCCATATAAATACTAAAGTAATAATCAAATATGTTTTTCAACCCTTTCAAATATATGATCCAAGAAAAAAATAAAATATGAAAAATAGTTCTAAAGTACATTTTTTTTTTGTCATAATGAGGTGTGAAATCTTTCCCATGCAGACTCTTAATTTAATTTTCAACCTTTATTTTTTATATTTATACCACTGTAAACTTTCACATCACATCAAAAATATTATTGTTTGAACTTGAAATATATTATATACCTTTATATAGATTGTTAAGGGGGCATATATGTAAAAATTAAAGTTTAGATATTAGATTTGTAAATACAAAAGAATTGGGTGGCATTGTGGTAAAATCTTCCAAAAAAAATCAAATTCCAAAAATTAAAAATGAATCTACTCGTGGAAATGGGATAGATGCAACAAGCCTTTTGGACAGTTTTTTCAAAGAACATTTATATTCTCTCTCAATTATTGTTAAGAATAAAGTGATAAAATTCCCATCCAATCGTTCCAGCAGCCCGTTCATATTTTCCGAAAGCACATAATAACTTTTAATAAATAATTTCTCACCCTTGGATTTACATCAAAATTCGGGCTAGCTGGGAACACCTGATGCTACACGAATCATAAAGCGGATCCAATGTCCCAAGAATCGAACTACTTTCCCATTCAACCAAATGAGCTTTCCATTCCGGGCAAAGGTGTTATGTCGAGATCCACCGTCCATCTCTTCATCCAACGGATGAAGTCTCCATAACACAAGTACCATAGTGAGCCACCAAAAGTATATTTTAAAAAGAGAAAAAAAATAAATAAATATGGGCATTTACTTATACACCAACTATTTTTATTTATTTACACAGGATTAGCATTATTTGGACAAAATAAAAAAGAGATTTTTAATTTTTTGTTCGGTTTTAATATTCATTTAATCCAACAAATCGAAAAACCAAAAATTAAATATTATATAGAGCATCCATAAAATTAAATCAATATTATATAAAATTGAACGAACACTCACCCATATATATAAATATCGAACAACTAAATTTTATTTATATTAATACTACTGTAATTTTTCATATCAAATAAAAAATATTACTATTTTCAATTATAAAAATAAAATATAAATTTTCATATATAGATATTGTATATATATATAGCATCCATAAAATTAAATCGATATTATATAAAATTGAGCGAACACCCACCCATATACATAAATATCGAACAACTAAATTTTATTTGTTTATATTAACACCACTGAAATTTTTCATATCACATAAAAAATATTACTATTTTTATACATAAATATTATATATATATATATATATTTTGAAGTTAAAAGGAAAATATGTAAATACACAAGAATTAAATGACCAATACGTAAATAGTCCAACAAAAAAACGAACCTTTATATATATATAAAGACACCGTTATCGTTATGCGGTTTTGGAGCCATCACCGTTGGATTCGATGTCTCTCTATATACCCAAAGCTCAAATCGTTTCCCACTCAAACGTATACCTTCTGTCACCACCGCCGACCTTCCGGCGAGGCAATTCAGTCCAACCCTAAGATTTCTTCAGCGATCGCCGCCGCTCAACACTCTCTACTACTCCAACCCTCTTCGCATGGCGGCATCGATTAACTCCGGCGATCTGTCAAAGTTCTCCGGCGTGGCGCGGAGCTCGCTAATCGAGCCAGACGGTGGAGAGTTGGTGGAGCTGGTGGTTCCAGCCGAGGATCGGGCGGCGAGGCGGGGGGGGGGGGCGGGGGGTGGTGAGGATCGGGAGGGTGGATTTGGAGTGGGTGAATGTGCTAGCCGAGGGATGGGCGAGTCCTCTGAGAGGGTTTATGAGGGAGGAGGAGTACTTGCAGAGTCTGCATTTTAATTCGATTAGGATGGAAGATGGATCGGTGGTTAACATGTCGCTGCCGATTGTGCTTGCTGTTGACGATTGTGCCGTCGAAGCTATCGGCGTCTCTGCCGATGTTGCTCTTGTTGGGCCCGATGGAGATTTTGTGGCTATCTTGAGAAGGTCAGCGGTATTTGCTCCATGGTGTTCTTCTATTAATTTATGAATTCTTGGTATGGTTTTCAGTGGATTGAAATAGAAATAATCATTAACTTCGTTGCATTTTGATTTTATGTCGTTTTCTAATTAGTGGTGGTATGGCTGATCAACAGTTTTACAAAACCTTTACTGAAGATTATGACTGGAATTTTTCTTTATTGTTTCATCTTGATTGAACAGGAGCTGTTCATTGTTTTCTGTGGCGTAAGAGCCATTTATAGTCTGGAGCATTAGAACTGTTGGATTCAAATCTGTTTTGTCCATTAGTTATGCCCAAATCTTACCTGTATTTGAGAGGGAAAAACGATGTGTGAAGATATTTAAAGTAGGGGAGTAAAAATCGATTTAAAAAGTACAACTGTAAATATAATCTCCCAAAACATAGAAAGAATTGGAAGGAGAGAGATGAAAAGAGACATGAAGAAAAAAAAATTTCCTTTAACACTGCCATGTTCTCATACTTACAGGAGGATTTGGGTTCCAGTGCTATAATAAAAGCTACATAATAAGTAATAGAAGGATAATAAAATACATGAAGAGATGTGTATAATCTAAATATGTATAGCCAAATATCTGATAACTCAATCTTTTAATTAAATCATTCTACTTTCAACAAATAAACATAAAATACCAGAAGCATTAAAAGTCTGATGCCCACCACCTGTGAATGCATGCATAAACGATGTCAGTTGTGAGTTATCTTTTATTGAGTTGCTCTCATTATTCCATTATAGCTGTCGTGTATGGGTTTTTACAACAGCATGACCTTTAATATTTCTATATATATAGATATATAGATAACATATGCATTTCATAATTTTGATCTCATATTTGATTATATATATATCCATAATCTGGTATTTTAGAATGTTATTGGGAACGTAAAATGAGTAAAACTTGTACTAACTAATCTCTTTTTAATACCAATAAAATTTATTAATTGAAAATCCTTCAATTCTTTTTCTTAATGTTTTCATTTTTGCAGATTACATTACACTTCTCAGATTTGATGTTGTTCACCCTCAATTTGCTGCAAATGTACTGACACATTCTGCCTTTCAGCATTGAAATATATAAACACAATAAAGAAGAAAGGATTGCAAGAACATGGGGAACAACAGCTCCTGGATTACCTTATGTTGAGGAGGTAATCAGGCCTGCTGGAAATTGGCTCATTGGGGGAGATCTCGAAGTGCTGGAGCCTATCAAGTATAACGACGGCCTCGATCACTACCGCCTCTCTCCTCGACAACTTCGCAATGAATTCAATAGCCGCCGGTCTGATGCAGTGTTTGCTTTTCAGTTACGAAATCCTGTGCATAACGGCCATGCATTGTTAATGAATGACACACGAAGGCGCCTCTTAGAAATGGGTTACAAGAATCCGATCCTCCTATTGCATCCTTTAGGAGGCTTTACAAAAGCAGATGATGTCCCATTGGATGTTCGGATGGAGCAGCATTGTAAGGTTATTGCCACAAAATTTGTATATTTTTTACTTCTGTTGTTTATATTCATGATTAAATAGAATGTATAAGAGTAAAGTGTCACAATAGACCTTTAACTATTTGCATGGGGCCAGTACCAGAGTCTATAAAAGTGAAATTAATTCTCAAACTCTTTAAATTTGGATTGAAATAGCCCTATGTTAGTACTATTTCAGCTTATATTAAAAGAATCTAGCAGCTAAATTGACACTTCTATAAAGTTTGGACAAAAATGATCCCATGCAAAAGGACAAGGGGCTATTTTGACACTTCTTCTCAAATGTATAAATTTAGAATTTTATGTATTGATATAGGTTCTGGAAGATGGAGTTCTTGATCCTAAGACTACCATCGTAGCAATATTTCCATCGCCGATGCACTATGCCGGTCCCACTGAAGTACAGTGGCATGCGAAGGCTCGAATGAACGCAGGAGCGAACTTTTATATTGTTGGTCGTGATCCTGCCGGAATGGCTCATCCGATGGAAAAGAGAGATTTGTATGATCCAGATCATGGGAAAAAGGTTTTGAGTATGGCTCCAGGATTAGAGAAGCTCAATGTTTTGCCTTTCAGGGTATTTCCTTTGTCTTGCATTTTGCTCTTCTTATTTATTATCTGATTCAACATACAAGCTGACAATTGCATGCAATTTTTTTCTATTTAAAGTTGTGTTATTAAGATAATTTCTTAATTTTTATCCAACTGGGAAGTAAGAATCATAACTGATAATTCGTTTCTATTACATCCATTCAGAATTTTGTTATCAATGCAATACTTCTATGATATATTCAAATACATGTAACCGAATTAAAATGATTTTTTTATCTTTTTTAGAGCATTTTTAAGATATTTAATTCAATCTCTGGAATGGTCAATTCTCTAAAACCATATATGGCTTGGTCCTTAACTGCAGGTTGCAGCATATGACACTGCGGTAAAGAAGATGGCATTTTTTGATCCTTCTAGAGCTAAAGAGTTCCTATTCATCTCTGGTACCAAGGTTGGTCTCTCAAATGATGATAATATTTGCAGATAAACCATTAATCTTATTGAAAATTTCAAAATATACAAATGAAAACTTCTGATGCATTGTGACTTCAGATGCGGGAATATGCGAGGAATGGAGAGTCTCCTCCTGATGGATTTATGTGCCCAGGCGGATGGCAAGTTTTGGTCAACTATTATAAAAGCTTGCAAGCAGAAGAAACCGAACAGTCTGCTGCTGCTGCTGTATATGTTTAAAGAACTCCGAGAGAACATTAAAGGACCACATTTTTTTATGCTAAATTCACTAATTCAATCCTATACGTGTTACTAGAAGCAGCAGTTGATGATGTTTGCAAAATGGTATAAAGATGTAATTTCTACTGATTTTTATAGATTTTAGATTATGAATATAATTTATCATATTATGTTGGTAAGCCCGATAAATGCAAAATCTAGGTCTGTCAATTTGGCTCGTTGTTCGCGAACAGCCGACTTGTTGAGCTGCTCGTGTTCGACTCGTTCATTAAGCCTAACGAGCCGAACACGAACAAATTTTTAAGCTCAAAATGTAAACGAGCCGCACATGAACAAAAGTTTGTTCGCTCGTGTTCGGTTCGAATCTGCTTGAAAATAAATAAATGTATATATATACATAATAAATATTATTAAAATTAAATATTATAAATTATAATTAATTAATTTTTATATTGTATTAATTTTTTTTAAAAAAATAATTATTATGATAATTTTATATTCTAAAGAACCAACCACAAGCTGAACATGAATAAATTGCTTAAGCTAAACACGAATATACTATTCACGAGCCATTTCAAACATAAGCCAAATTCAAACGAGCTGAACACAAGTCAACCTGAGCTCGCTCATGCTCGGCTCGTTTACCGCCCTAGCAGTCCAATTCGTTAGAGACAACCATTGTAGGTTATAATAGGCTGGAGGTTTGGCCCTAAGCTTATTTAGACATAAGAATTGTTACTCTTTCTATTTGAATTTGTTTGCACTCAATAACAACTTTCTTCTTTTTCTCATCACTTGAATTGAAAAAAAGTGAAACACTTAAAAACAATGATTATAATGTCTTATCTGTTCCATATAACTGTGCTCACAATCATTTATAAGATGTTTGCTTCGTAATATTCTCTTCGTCATCAATAATTTAAAGCAGTAATGTGATTGGAATCTCATAACTAAATCAGCAAAAAGAATAAAAAGAACTGTAATCACCTTGGGATTCAGCATGGGCTGTCGACCAGTAAAATAATTTTATACACGGGACTTCTGTGTATCAATACCTTCAACACTACACCGAATATAATATTCTCATAAAATTGAGATATCTTCAATTACTAAATTTGGAGCAGTAAAGATCAATTTATTAAAAAAAATATTAAAAAATTACATATATTTTTAAAAAAAATAATAAAATCAAAGGATTGGAGTTTCATAACTAAATCAACAAAAAGAAAAAAAAAAGAACTGTAATCAGCTTGCGATTCAGCATGGGCTGTGGACCAGTAAAATAAATTTATACACGGGACTTCTGTGTATCAATACCTTCAACACTACACCGTATATAATATTCTCATAAAATTGAGATATCTTCAATTACTAAATTTGGAGCAGTAAAGATCAATTTATTAAAAAAAATATTAAAAAATTACATATATTTTTAAAAAAAATAATAAAATCAAATATTTTCATCTAAATAAATTACATGTACTATTTCAATTTTCAATCCGGTGCCATTAAAAGACAGGCCTCTCTTAATGAAATAATGACAACCATCATATTTTTCTATGTTTGATTCGAACCGGTGACCTCACGGTGAGATATTAAACCCTCAATCACTAACTATATCACGAATAAGTGCGCAAAACAAAAATAGTTGCTACTCGGAGAGGAGGAAATATTTGATATCAGGGGTCACGAAATTATAAGTATAAAGAATATCAAAGTAGATAATACATCTGATAAAATATGCAGTTGCTCATTTCAAGGGATAGGCATTATTTTGTCAGAACATGCCGAATATTCAAAATTTCATAGAAAGATTCAGAGAGAGATCAATGGAGCATAAGAGTTTTAGTTCAAATACATGAAGATATTTGAGAAAAAAGCTCTTCAGTGATGATCCTTTTTTGCCTCAGCCTTTCTTTGAGCCTTAGCCTTAGCCTATAAACAGTCAATAAAAATGTTAGAAAAGCTAACTTCGCTGTTTGTGCAAAACTTACATTTAATTAAAAGACCTGACAATGACACAAAGTTTGCATAAAAATGGTAATGCTTTCAGCTACTGTTTTTTTATTTAAAGGGCATTTACATACATACCACATAATTTTAATGTATTTACATGTCTAACACCTAAACATTCATATTTACATGCATACCACTAAATTCTTTAACACACATAAAAAATATCACTATTTTTGCCCTTTTAAGAATGAAATAAACCTTTTCAAGCATAGGTTCATAACACGAAGCAGTTATAAAGTGTAAATATCGTAACTTTGGGCTGTTAGATATTTAAATATATAAGAATTGTGTGGCACAATTTGTAGTCGAGTAATAAAATGCAACATAAAGCATCAAACTGGAAATGCAACTACTCCATGGCTTCAGCGCCAAGGGTAACAAACTTTAGAGTAGCATGTTCGTCTTCATGAGAATGATGATTACTTCAGTTTAAACAAGATAACAAAGGGGTATTTATGTACATAACACACAATTCTTATGCATTTATATATTTAACACCTAAACTTTCATATTTACATACATAACACTCAAATCTTTAACATCACATCCAAAAACCACAATCACTAACTTTTTAGAAGTGAAATACACATTTTAATACATAGGTTTTTTATACCAATGTGCTATAAATGTAAATAAAAATTTTTTGTGTTAGATATGTAAATGCATAAGAATTGGCTGATATGAATGTAAATTTCTCAATACCAAAACACAACAATAATATACAATATTCCCTAACGGCAATCTTTTTCCTTCTTTTCTACGTTCCATCCAATTCAGCGACGGTGCCACAATATAGCAATGAGATATGCCATGAAAATCAACATTTAAAATTGCTAGATGTAAAACATAAATCCTAATTCATTACAATTGCTCCCTAAAACAGAAGTTCCTGACACCAAACAACATGAGTATGCTTATAAGCGATGTCCTGTCTCTCTTGGGACCAGAATCCTACAAAGAATTCATGATGAAGCTCCTATAAATAATTTCTCAACTAAAATTCATTTTGCATATTAAGAATTGTGTTTACAAGTTCCACAAAATAAGTCAAAAGTTTAATTAAAATAAACCAATAGACAAATTCTAGCTCTCTGCTTTCCAATGAGCAAACCCACAACGATTCATGATTATATGTTTCATAAGTACTTAATTCTCTCGAATCACGATTTGATTGATCTCGTCTTCTTCGCTCGACTCACCTTCCCAACCAAGGACCAACACAATCACGGCTATCTTTCAATTATTACTATGTTAGCTAAAAGGGTACTTTCATCAATGAATATAATGAAAAATCAACTGAGAAATTAAAGGGGGTGATGTTTAGATGAATGATTGCTTTATTATGAATATTAGGATTGGTATTTGATGAAGTTCAGACTGAACTAATTTTGAAATGAGTTTATAATATGAAAACTCATAAAGTCCAAATATATTTATATTCACTTGTTTTTAAGTTTTTTGTCCAATAAACATGAAAAACAAGAATATCATAATACCAATGGAGTTCTTATCTCCTTGCAATTTAATTAAAAAAAACGAGCAAAAATTAAATCACGATTAGGATACCTTAACTCGTTGAATTTCGTAAATATATAGCAAGTTACTGATGGCCCATAAACTAGATCCCATAAAAATTCAATAACCTCTAGATGTCTACTGATAGTCTCACACCATATTATGGATGTATGATAGCTTGTCATACAATTTATGTGTGACTTTATTTCATTTGATCTCATTCATGAGTTTCTAATTTCATTCTAATGAACTAAAATTCGAAGTTTAGCAAATTAGTGATCAAGGATCATGCTTTTTCAATCTTGATCCTGAATACATTGAAATTAAATAATAAAATTTTGGGAAAAAAATCATAAACTTGAATAAAGACTATAAATAAGATTTAGAAAGTTATGGTGCAGCTTAGGTAATCTCTGACATTCTTCCAGTCACCTTGACTGTTGAAAGGTAAATTACTCTTATAGGTGATCTCTGACATGCCTCCATTCATCGAATAACCAAGGACAATGTTCAATGACAAATAATTGAGAAGCCGTTCGGGAATATTTTTGTATTTTGTTTTTAATCATTGTTTTCATGTTTGTTTTGTTTATATTTTGTTAGAATTAAAACATTTTTAATTGCAGTTGCTATTTAAGTAAAAAAAACTCAATAATTTTTAGGTGTATTGAGCATTTAAAAAAAAAGATCATTTATTTTTAAAAACAAAAAATTAAAACATTTAAATTATACTAATCACATGTTTTCAAAAACAAAAGTTAAAAAGAAAAAAAAAAGTAAACATAAATGGTGTCAAACAAGACCAAAGAAAATCTAAAGAATAATTTAATGTAAAATCGTATGTAGCATAACTTTAGGTTTATGATTACAACCGAATATAAAGAAATTTGGATTTTTAGACTTATTAATTGAAAATATGGACTTGAAAATCCAGAAGTATCTTCAAGTTTAGCTTGCAAGCTAGATTGGATCTAATAATTTATGTGAAAACTAGTAAGAGCAAGGGTTGAAAAATTAAGAAGAACATTAGAATATGGCGGCTAAGTTTCACATTGTTTGTTTGCTTTCTTCAAAACAATAGAAGTATTTATATACATTGTTCAACATGCAAAACTAAGGCCAAAACCACCAAGCCCATTAACTTCCCCTAGATTCACTAACCCGTGAACACTAGTTTAGTTAACCATCAACTCTCATTGAATCACAAATTATCATACAAACACATATGCAGTGGAGGAACCCCTTGTTTACTACTGAAACATTTTGTTCATAACCGAGGGTTAAATTTTGCTTCCAACATATTCAATTCGATCTTTATTCATTAACTAAGAAGTAACCGGAAAAATATCCTCAATCTGGTAATTTGTCAGGATGTGGTGTCAATCATCTCTAGCTCTCTACATTTGTTTTATGTGTGATAATTGTTGTTTATCTCTTGATAAGCCTAATGAATGCATTAAAGAAACCGTAGAGCCCACATTTTTACAAAAGTTCTCCAATGAAATGCTCCGAATATACTATATGTTAAAACAAATTTACAAAAGGAAATCCATAAAAGCCTATGTAGGTCCCTCACTCATGGAATATTTTACAATTGAAAGTGAATTGCAACT